GAGACAGATTATATTCCACATTAGGAAGTTTTTACAACATAACATTTTATACATCCTAATTGTCAACTGTAATTGTTTTATATTTAATATTAATAAAGTTAATTCAATAACATACAGTAATTTATTCAATAATTAATTTGATTTCAGGTTCCGGTTCGTTTGTACTAACGTTAACTAGTTGCCAAGCAACAACGTTGAATGATAACGTGCTCAAGCCTTCAGAAACAAAAGGAAAGGGAATTTTTAGTTACATTACCAATTTATGACACCGAATGAAAACGAAAATTATTGACAATAACTACTCCTACTACTACTGCGACGATTTTTGTCAATACATCACCATTGTATAAGGACACACTTAATCGCATCAAGCTCGGGAAGGCCCTCATTACAACCGAATTATCAGGGCATAGGGCCTATAAAAAATACTAAATGTAAAACATTAAGAAGACATGGTGTATACACCAACAATATCGCAACAGTATATGTGGTATATATCTACAGTTCAAATGATACAGGCCTAATTGTTAGAAAACAAACTTTACGTAAAAATGCCTATGTTTACTTGCTATGGTAAACATTTTAAACAATTGCATTTCGTAATTATGATTAAATATTATTTATAAAGATTTTAATTTAATCCTGTTTTGGTTATTTTTATATAAAAGCTATTGATAATAGACCTAGGCCTATTTATAATGTTAAACAATAATTGATTTAATTTAAATAATATATTTAGGCACATGGGCAAGGGCCTACCAACACCGAATAAATCACTATCCAAGAGGTACAGCACATACATTTTTATATGGATTATGAGTATACTTTGACCAACACTAAGGTGGACACAAGCGAAGATTGGCATTGTAGTGTTGAACCAGGAAATATACATTCCGATACCCGATCTCTCACCATCATGCCTCCTCGATTTGTCATAACGTTAGTGGTCAATCTGTTTTTATGCTACATTGTTTTGAACAGTTTATGAAGATATGGGCTCAATACTTTATTTTAAATAGCAGCTGTATAATTTTCATGAGTACTCTAAATCGAACGTATGTTTTCCTAGCACATCACCTAATATATTTCTTGTATATAATAAAAATACCATTTTGGAACACACTTCGAATGGAGACCATATTCAAACAGTCTATAGCATTTTGCAGGCCTTATTCAATGGATTTCTGAAACCCATAATTTGTAAACACTAATTAAATTTCCATTCATTTGGGTGTTGTTAGGGACGTGAAGATCACGCGGTATGTCCATTACATCTGCAGACTTACATTATAGATTTTGTTCATATGGATCGATCTGCAATCACCGGAGCTAAGGCCAAAAATATTGTTTGTTTACCCTCCTTCACCCGCTTCTAACTCACTGAAAAAAATAGGGGCGGAAAAATAATAAAAAACTTCTTTACAAATTAAAAAAAATGTGAGTGAATTTATCTTTATTTTTTGCCAGATGCCCTACAAATTAGTCTAAAGTTGTTGTCTGATGTAAGATATTGCCATTCTAGGCCTCCGTGGGTTATTTTTTATTCCATCTGATGAGAATTGAAAAAAAAATTTTTCCACCCGCTCCTAGGCCTATTAATCATTTAAAAAAAGAAGGGCAAACAAACAATTTCTTTTATTTGGCCTAATCCAACAAATTTTGGTATCTACAGTACTGAGTGAACCACTTCACTACATCTGATGCTCCATAAATTTCGGTATAAAGAGTGGAGAAAAAAATATCGCTAGTCACAAAATTGCTAACAATTGATTTTTATTTATTTTATTTACTGACTAATATTGCTACAGATACAGATACTGATTTATGTATTGTTAAAAATAAACTGGAAATTACAATGCTCAATACTGCCAATACAAAAGTTAATTTATCTCAATATCCTATACTTTTGATTGTGATCTCGAATCCCAGCTGAGTAGAACAAGTACTTGAAACGGTCTGTGTGTGAATTCACCGTCCTCATTTTACCACTTCTAATTCTAACAATAACGGTGGTTCCTATAATGTCGGCATAGAGCGGATGGTTTTTGTTCTCCGTATAGCTTGAAACACCTTTGCAAGCCGTTCATGGTGGATCAAGCGGACGAACCAATTACTTTCTCCACCCTACCCAGCACCTTCTCAAATCAGTCTATATCCCACTTACTGATATTTCCCGCCCAGTCCGACTTACAATACCCCCAAACAGATAACATTACTGATAAGTAAAACGTTCTACACATATCCTGATTGACCCCAAATAAACTAAGTTTCCTCAAACAATAGAGCCTGTGTTTAATTTTTTCACTATTTGATCAACATGCCCCCCCCCCCCACATTTAAGCTTATTGTCGAAAACCACTCCTTGATACTGATAAGTGTTAATATCTACCTCCTTTTCTTCAATATACATTATCAGAGTCATCCTATTACTTTTCCGGAAATCGTTCGGCACTTCTTTCGTTTTATTTATGTTTAATACAAGAAAATTATGTTCACAGTATTGATAAATTGAACAATCTTAGACCGGTATAAAGAATCATTGTTATGATTGATAGTATAAGACCAACCATTGCCGAGTCGTCTGAAGATATATCTGGATAACTTGGAGATATAGATCTACAATCAATACCGTATCTTGTGGTTCCCCCGTACTGATACACACAATATCAGGAATAATATTACACTGTAACATATTGACAACGTTCGACCAAAAAATTAAAAACAAAGAAAATTAACACGGTGGAATATTCATATCAAATTATTAACTAGTACGTGTGATTCAATTGTATTAAAACTGAACTAAAGTCAAAATACATAATATTCGTTCGTTTGCAGTCATCTAAATGACGGTAAAAGTTTTGAAGCTTATATAATAATGCATCTTCTGTATTCCTATTTTTGCAGTAAGCAAATTTGAGGGGATTCTGACCATTTCCAAAATTCAGTGCCAAATCCTGAAATTCGAAATAGAGGGGGCACAGGAAGGGGCTTTTACAAATGGAGTGTAGACACTTCAACCACACCATGGTTGGGGCTGAGGTAAGAGCATTTATGATTATGGCACCTCTAGTTGGCCGGAAATGGCACTCTCAGACTTAAATTTGAATATATTTTTTTTCTCCACTTTTAAATTTTACAAAATTTATGGAGGGTGGGCCGGCTGGGCCCCCTTGAATCTTAAAAAGTGGAGGGGTGCAGGATGTGTCCCCTGTCCTGTGTCCCCCTGTCCCCACCGATCGACGCTCATGGTGATAGTCGGCAAGCATACGATTTCAAAATTCTAGGTAATAACTTATCAGGTGCACCTGCTTTTAATGCTTTTAACGCTTTAAAATGTTTTGTCACTTCTGCCTCATTGTCTTCGAGTGTAAACTCACATTAATTTAATAAACTATTATTAATCTTGCATTTATTTTCCATTCTATCACTTGAGAAATCGTGCTTATCAAATCTATTAAAGAACTCATTAAGTTCATTAGCATAATGATTGGAAATATTGTTTTAATCCTCTTTACTTTGGATTTGTTATATCCACTCTTCATGTCATTACTTTTGAATTTATTTTCGAGTTTCTTTTGTACTCTAATTTATTTTTATACATAATACTCGTTTCAACTCTTTTTGAATAATTTTGGCTTGGGCCACATCATTATTTTTAAATGCTTGTCATTTTTTCTCAATTATCTCTTATCCTTTTTATTCTTAATTAATTACATTTTTATTTATCCATCTTAAAATTCATCGCCATGCACTTTTACTTTCTTAATTGGGATCACATTATCGGTAAAAAAATTAATATAAGCGTTAACAGTTTCCGTCAATACATCCACATTCTCAGAGTTACCTTTAAAAACAATTCCAGTCACAGTAATTTCAAACTCAAATTGAAGCGGTTAAATTGATTCTTTAGACCACTGTTTACTGTAACCAACTTTGGCTACTCAACTACCTTTGATACCACGCAATGTATGATACAGTATATTATATTATATTATGATAACCATCATATACACTAATTTGAGTAAGGGCCAAAAGTTTGTGACGATTTACCGTCCAGACGTGTACTCAAATCTGGAAAAAATATATCGTGACAAATTTTGAGTTCCTATTTATGTCTATTAAATTATCGAAAGAAAGTAATTTTGCACTAACACGAATCTACAAGGACTTTTCACGCTACAAAAGCAACAAATGTGATAATTCAATATTCAAATTATTTTAGCACAGTACAGTAGAACGAGAAGAGTGTTATTCAGTATATAGGTAAGTGGAACGTACACTTCCGAATATATATTTAGTAGTTATATATTAACCACTAAAATAAGTAAATATGAGACAATTAAGAAATTTCTACATCTATTACAACATTTAAGCTTACATACATAATCCAGGTTTTACTATATAATAATTTTCAGACTAACTAATATCATTTTTGGCTATCAAGTCTCTCAAAAGATAGGAGGGTGACAAGTCAGAAGACAGTTCCCCACGCCATTTAAACTTAATTTAGTTGTACTAGAGTACCCTTTTTGTTTCTGGACCCCTCTAGCAAATATCCGGAACCGACCCAGTACCCACAGCCAAGCGAAAGGCCGCCAATCGGTAATCAAATAGAGCCCCTTTGATATCCTACTGGGAATGTATGCGCTGGGTCATTTAACTTAAGCAAATAACACTTAATTAAGACAGCTACCTCTTCAACCATTAAATAAAACAAAAAATCAATGAAATAACGAAAAGTTGATGAATAATTAAATTTTGTATGCGAAAGTTAAATATTGAAACTACAGTATCAAATAAAGTATGATATTAGAGATAATTTTATTATTTATCCATTGAAACCAAATACGTTATCATTAATACAGAAATAATAATAATATTTTTTTGGTAGAAAATGCTATTTGTGACATTTTTATTTTTCAAAATTTGATACTTTTAAAGAATAAAATTCCAATACAAATATTATTTAATGATATTTTTCACGTTTTGGAAATCGCCACCCAATATAAAGTCCCCAAATTTAGTATGTTTTAATCTTGTTCCCATTTTGAATCTGCCAAGCATTTGAATTTTTCTATGTATTTTACTGCAATTTTATGCATGGCATAATTATTTTATAGGCTGATTCGAGGTTTGCTGCTTTTAGTTTCTCGCCAAGGTTTTTGCAAAACTCTCCAGGGGCTGAAATGATACTGAGGATTTTTAACAGACAGATGGTTGGACATTTTGTAGCTCTGTCCATGTTTTCAATTACTCTGCTACCAATATTAAGTTGTTCAGCTAAACCCCTCCAGTCACGAAGCTTTGTTTCTTCGATATCAAGTTCGAGGCAAAGTTTGTAGCAGACGTCCTCTGGGAGATCGCACCAATCCACTGGACCATACATTCTTCTGCATGCTAATAAGTCAACTTCACTTTCTCTTGAGTATAGACTTTCCATTGCCATCATGTTCATATTCTAAAAATATATGCAACAATTAAAATGATCGATCCTGTTTGATTGGAATCGATTTAAAGGTATACAGTCTGTG